TGGCTTGTGCTTTTTAAAGGGGGGGGGGGGGGGAGGAATACTTCCAGTCTGCATAAGCATTATATACATAGCTCTTATTAGTACAATAAATTACTTGTGAAAATTGTTCTTTAGAAGCTGGGTCCGCTTTTCCTTGCTGTTGAAAAATGGACTGCGGGGCTCCAGTGAATACTGGATAATGCCCCCAAATGTGCTGAATGTCCTCGCAGCTTGAGCAGGCTGTGGCAAAAGATGGGAAAACTGACCACAAAAATAACTTGGAACTTATTTTAAGTGTTCAAACTGCAGCTTGTGTTCAGTGTTGTGCTGTCCTGGGCCTTCTGCCCTTCCTCGAAATGCTGCATGGGCAAAGCAGGTCACCTCAGAAACCTGTGAGAGAGGTGGGTAAAGCACTTCTCTGTTTTCATATAAACTTACTGAAAAAATAAATCTGCAAAACCTTTCTGCTACCTCATCTTTCCGAGGGTGAGGCGAACCACCACACTGCTTACTGGTCTTATTTAATGGAAAGAGACTGGAACTGTGAAGAGTGCTAGATTGAAAGCTTTCAGTTGTGCCAATTTAAGCAAGTTTTATGTTAAAATCTCTTGATTAGGAGTGAAAAGTGAATAGCATCCACTAACTGGGAGGAAATATGAGGAGGGATTAAAAAAAAGTGGCTTGCCTTACTTGCATTACTTTACAGGTTTTCATGTTAACTTGGATTATTAGGACACCTTTAGTGCTGGCTGGATGAATGTATGATTGATCAGCTTCACTTCAAACCTTTACTTTTATGAATGCCTGATTTCAAACACTTGAAAATGGAAGATACATTCTTTTCTACATTTTTGTAAGTTAATTTCTGTAATGCCTCTTGGAGCAGGTTCTCATGGGGATGTCAGTGCTGAGCTGGCATTGCATGGGAAGTTCAAACAACCTAGAAAAAATCCCCACCTACTTAAAAAATAAATCTGTTTAATGTACCTGGGACACTTTGTAAATACAAAGCCATGTGTGCTGTTCAGACCGGAGCCTTACAGTTGTGAGTGAAATGCAAGTATTTGTTAAAGTAGTACACTGGTTTATCTTAGCAGCTGTTATCAAACCTGCTTTAAACTTCCTTGGCCCTTTGGGGAGCTCATTAATGGTTAAGTTTAAACTAAATCTTCCTATGCTAAAATGTGCTGGGTCATACAACCATACGCTAAAACTCTCTGCAGCATGAACCACCATTTTTGCTGTTCTTTGTACAGTATCTGGCTGGAGTAGACTAAGTGGTACAATGAAAATGCATTTAATAGCTATGGCAGGCCCATCTTGTAAATAACAGTTTTGAATATTTTCTGTGACTTTATTTCTGACGCTTTTTCGCTATTGAGATGCCAGTAGTTGCAACAGAGCCCTTCCCAGGAGAGCTGGGCTGGAAGTCTGGCTCTCGAGATGACATTCCCTTAGCGATCTTCCAGCCTATTCTATTCTGGGTCAAACTGTTGGCTGAATTGTGGTTGTGCTTGCAGATTTGTATTCAGTTACAAATGAGGATCCGTAATTTCTCTGCGCTGCTTCTGCTTATCTCTTCTGGCCTTAATTAGATTTAACATGTGTTAAAGGCAAGCAGGGATTGATTCTAGAAAGGGCTGGAACAGAAACTGAACAAGGATATTGCTTCTTGCAGCAGTGACTCTACAAAACCCACCCTGCCCTCTGAGAAAGATCGACTGTGACTTTTGGTGGCACATCTGTTTTTTTGAAGAAACCACTTTCGAAATGAAAATGAACGTTTGTCCTGTTGCTCTTAACATTGTTTCAAAGGAATGTGTTCATTGCTTCTGTTGTTATTTTGGAGTAGTTGAAAAATGTTGTTCTCGCTGCTTTGGATATCAATATGTTGAGTCAGAGCTAAGCATCCTGATATCTGGGAACTGCT